ACACTACTACACGTGATGAACAGGGTCGTTTTGTGGTGAGCCTACCTTTCAAGTCTGAGTGCAAGGAAATCGGAGAAACCCGAAGTACAGCGCTCAAACGATTAAACCAACTAGAGCGACGATTTAAGGCCGATAGGTTGTATCACGAACGATATTTACAATTTATGCGCGAGTATTCTGATTTGCAGCACATGTCGCCGATTGAATCTTGCAACATCGATGACAACAAACGAGTTATTTATCTCCCTCATCATGGCGTGGTAAAGGAAACGAGCTCTACCACGAAATTGCGCGTAGTATTCGATGCCTCCAGTAAGAGTAGCACAGGTCTTTCATTGAATGACGTTTTAATGACTGGTCCGATTTTGCAAGATACTTTAATACAAATAATTATGAGATTCCGATTTTATAACGTGGCTGTTACAGGCGATCTGGAAAAAATGTATCGACAAGTGTCGGTTCGTGACAGCGACAGAGATTGTCAGAGGATCTTGTGGCGCTTTTCCATGAACGAGCCGATTAAAGAATATCAATTAAATACAGTGACTTATGGTCAAGCTAGTGCTTCCTATTTGGCCATTCGGAGCGTACGTCAATTGGCGGAGGAAAACAGGGACACCTTTCCATTGGCCGCCGAGTGCGTTTTAAACGACATGTACGTTGACGATATCATTAGCGGTGCTCCATCTATGGAGGAGGCCAGGAGACTAAAGGATCAATTAATTGATCTAATGAGCAAGGCCTGTTTCCGCGTGCATAAGTGGCATTCCAACGTATCAGAGGTGGTGCACGGTTCAGACGATGAGGAGAATCCAGAAACAGTAAGATTGAAGCTCAACGATACCATACGGACGCTAGGGTTAATCTGGGAACCAAACACTGACGATTTTATATTCACGGTCGATTTTCACAAGCAAATTCACACCAAAAGGGAATTATTGTCTGAGATCAGCAAACTATTTGACCCTTTAGGGTTATTGGGTCCTGTCATAACGTTGGCTAAGATATTGATGCAGGAGACATGGAAGGCAGGAGTTGACTGGGATTCCCCGCTACCAGATAGCGTATTGCGTAAATGGGAAAGGTTTCGAGGCGAGCTATCCGATTCTACATTTTTTCGTATACCACGCGGAATTTCTAGTCAGCCTATATCACAGGGAGTGATACTTTACG